TATGTTAAAAGAGTGAGAAATGTAGGGCACATGAACAGAAAAATACATATCGAGAATACCATGAAGTCAGTTTAGACGTTAAAAAATCAAGTTTTATTTTTCCTCAGACTATAAAACAAAATTCATCCCCACACTGAAAAAAAAGGTTCCATACGGAACTTAAAGGGTTCCGTGGTACTTTACTATACTTGAAAAGGTTTCGTTCGCACAGACGAAGCCTCAAAAGAGCTTAGTATCATGTAGAGTTTCGTAAAAAAACCTGTTCAAGGTTTGGTATTCAAAAAAATTTCGTGATAAACCTTTTCGGGCATCGAAAATCGAAAAGATTTCGTAAAATACTCTTCAAACTTCATTTCAAAACATGAGCATTAAAGTAGATATACCTGCCCGAACTTCGTTTCTGATCGAGTGGAGTGGAAATCAATCACTAATTGGTCCACTGCTAATCATATTCTGCATTTAGTAAAATATTTCCAATATGTAGTAGTCAAAACAAATCGAAATGGTCGAAGTACTTAAGATTATCAAAAAAGATTACTGTATTGCAATTTCTAATCGCAATAAAAACTAATCGCATACGTTCTCTGTTGAGGAGCCTAAGTATATTCGCTTCAGTGAAGGGGTTAAACAAAGATATGGGAATATTTTGGGGATTGGATTAGGACTCAGATGGTAAGTTAGGGATATAGAAATACATAAGTGGATTGGTAATGGAGTCAGATTAAAGTTGATGGGATCCATTAGGAGGTTAGATTTACATTAAGGGGGTACATTAACTGCTTTAGAGATTTGAGAGATGGTTTCCGAACGCTACCAACGCTTCTGTAAATATCTTACTGATTGTCGAGGGTTCCAAAACAATGAGGTTCCTAAAAAACCGATTTCAACACTCTTAAAGTATTTTGGAATCCCTTTTTCTTGATATTGGAAACCTAATCGTATTTTCAGAAACTGTCAGGGTAATTTGTAAACTTATATCGTCAAAAAATGAAGTTCAAGTCTTATGAGGTATGGGGGAATACCCTTTCGGCTTCTGAAATGTTGCTCAGGTAAATCAAAGAGTTTTCGAGTATACTCAATCTCGAAAGCATAGGATAACGAGCCGAAAACCGACCCTGAATTTTTATCTCATACAACCAGAGGTTTCTAAAGCTTGCAATGTTTTCAGAATTTTCTGAAGAATGAAAAAGATCATAGTCCTCAAACCTCTCAAAAGAACATTTCAGTACTCCAATTTTTCTTTTACATCTTCGTCATTACTTAGCTTCAGGTTTATTTATTGAACTGAAACTGCTCACAATGTTAAGTATAACCGATTTGATCAAGAATCTTCCCTTCTATGAACCATTTTGCTTTCCCAATCTGAAACCATTTTAATTCGATTCAAATAACGTTCTGTCATCTTTACGTTCTTGAACTGTTCTCGATTTCGAATACAATTCGGCATGGTCCACATGGTAATTTACAATTCAATCATAACAAACTTATTTATTCATTGTCTTTTGTTTTAGGTTCTTATTGATATGATCCAAATGGTAAATTAGAATATAGATATAAATAATAGGTAGATTAAGGTTAAAGGAATAAGTTAGGGGATAGAAATGTATTAAACAGATAAGTAAATAAGATAGATATCGATTGTATGAATCTGCCAGAGACTACATCTAAGACGCTGCATGAAACAGAATAAATGAATAGAGAAACGGATAGGTTTATCAGTCCCAATTGTGAGAGCGCAGATTGAGTGCATTGGAACCTTGACGAAATTTCAACTACGAAACCATTTTGAGTGTGAATTGAAGACGGTTTGATACGGAACCATATTTTTACGAAACTCAAAAAGGTTTCGATTTCGTTGCAAATCTCGAAATCTTTTTTAAGTTCTGCATGGAACCTTTTTTTTTCAGTGTAGTTTGACAAGTGCAGTCTAATCAAGATTTGAGACTGCAACGAAAATCAACAGTTGTCCTAAGACCTTGCAAAATGTTATTCAGACTAGTGTTTACATTGTAAAAAGCAAACTATGCATGAAGATCGATAAAATAGTCTAGTACGTTAACCATTGGCTTGTTGGGTAAATGTTCAAATTGAGAGAATCCCAAAGCTCCAAGTGAAGCAACCAAGCTCAAGTCAATAAAAAGCTAAAATATAGAAATGGTTACTCCATTTCTGACAATTATGAAGTACAAAATTTGCTTGTTCTAGCAATTGCTTTAGTCAATTTATGGAAAAAAGCTTCACTTTTTTTTTATGTGTTTACCTATAAGATGATAAGAAATAACAACAAACTGTTGCACTTTTGAAGTGACATCATTGAAACCATTATCTAGTCTGTTATTGCAATTTTATCGAGAGATATGCATATAGTTATTTTAAACTTGAAAGCTGAAGAATAATTGTTCAATTGAACTCTTCTTTCAAGTTTGACACTACTGCATTCACATTCGTCGATACAAATACCGAGACTCACATCCACACTAAAATTGAAAACGCGACGAAAATTGTCGCAGTGATAGCTCTTCAGACGAAAGCGTAAAAGTCGTTTATTTTTCATTTGTTATCTTATCTGGCATAGATTGACATGTGAACGAAGTTTCATTAGAAAGCATTGAATTTCTGTTTTAAACCTTCTATGAATTTTGACGATAGTAGGTATGTACTGAGTCCGAGCTTACTTCGAGCAGCTCGCGTCTGGCTATTCTCTTTACTCTGAATCCCACTGACGATCATTCTCAAAGAACCAAGTCGAGCGTAATGAATATTTTGTGATATAATGTGTTAAGTTTTCTTTTCTTCTCTTTTTGTTCTTTAGTCTACTTTCCATGGTATATAGTATCATTATCAACTGATTCTTTTTCTCTACACTCTATCTCTCACTATTCTTATTCTTCTTCCAATCTAAGATGCCACTAGTCCACAAACTTACGATAATGATACCCTAACTATTACTCTTTCCTTTTTTCCGTATGTTTCTCCTTGCTATCTTCTCATGTCGTGGAAATCGCTGCAGAGCTGCCGATTAGCTGCAGTTCTTCTGCTGGATTTCCTTTTTCTTCTATCTCAGTCCATGAATATTTAAAAATTCTTAGAAAAACGTTAGATTTCAGTTGAAATGACTCTTCTTTACTATTGGGGGAGCTCACTTGAGCCGCCTGCATCAGTCACATTCGCTTAGTTTTTAAGTGCGATTATTCATTAAAGATGACACCACAAAAATAGTCGCTTGTTAGATAGAAGGTAAAACCAATACGAAAATGTGTGGCGCCATCTGACAAAATATACTTTAGCGTATTGACATTGACTTTATTTTAAGTAATAATCGATCGCCTCAAGAGAAAAAATATTGTTTTAAAAGAAAAATTAATAGCAAAATTGATTAAAAAAAAGGAGGCTACCGTTCGAACAGTGTAACACTCTGAAGTGCTTACGTAGTAATATAAGAAGAATTTACGATATTTACACGTTAAGCACAACATAAATACGATGAGGTTTACAGTCGACACCAATGTCATTATACAGAGTACTGAATCTACTTGTTGGGATGGAAAAGAGCACGCAAAAAGACGAAAAGAAAAAACCAGAAGAACAAAAATTTCACAATTTAGTAAGCAGCAACTAAATGAATGAGAGAAAAGGCAAAGAAGCGAAAGTCGATGCTTGTAAGCGTTTCAAGGACAGAAAAAAGAAAAGGAGAAAGCAAAAAAAAAGGAGAAAAGGAGAAGTGGTAGAAAAGAAAGAAAGAGAGAAGGGTTCTGCATGCTTGTTTTTTATATACCACTACTTTATTTCAATAAGTGATATTCATTTTAAGAGAAACGATTCATGCTTTTCTATTCATTACCTTAAACGATCGCTACAAAATAACAGGCCAAGACGATCATTTTTTCTTTTATGAATAGCTCTTTCTTTTATAAAAATCGGTTTTGATGTTGTTCTGTTCACTCATTATTAGTTTCATTCTATCTCGCATTGTCAATATCGTTTTGAACGGACAATGAAAATCGATGTTAGAAAACATACACAGTTCGGTTAGAAAATACACTTGTGAAGGGTCTATTCATTTTACCAGAGTGTTTGCGCAAAATAATTTTCAGTTAAGCAAAAATGTTTCTAATCTACATTATAGTTCAAAAATCAATGGCAAACACAATGATTGAAGTCCACTTCAAACAAACCGGTGAAAGTATTAATGTACCAGTGTCGTTACGATCCACAGTGGAAGATATTATTAAATATGTGTGTGAAAAGAGTGTACTTACAAAGGAGGGGTTCGTATTGTTAGTTAACTAGATTGATCGTATAAGGACTAAATTAATCCTCTCACCAACAAACTAACAAATTTAAAATATATAATGGTAATAAGTTGCGCGGACCGAGATATTTCATTTTTCAATGACTCTTCTCTAATGCGCTTCAGTTTCGCAGAAGAATAATATTTTCAAATTTCGGTCTGAAACTTTGCAAACATAAAGGCTTCAATAAGACTACGTAGGTTGCGGAACAAATGTCAAACGTTTCAGATAATCTGCCTTTGAGATATAAATTTTTCAAAATAGACAAAAACTGTGGAAAGCGTCACTATATTTGAAAAATTCGTATCTCAAAGATGGTTATTCAAAACTTCCGACATTTATTTCGCAACCTAATCTTATTAAAGCTTTTATATCTGCAAAGTTTAACACCGAAATTCGAAAATATTATATGTCTGAAAAACTGGACCCCACTAGAGAAAACCCATTAAAAAATAAAATATCTCGATCTAAGCAATCTATCAACATCCAATATTTCAAATTTGTTAGTTTGGTGGTGAGAGTGTTTATTTGACCCGCATACGGCCAGTCTAATTCACTGACAACACGAAGTCTTTCATTGTTAGATCAAAGCTTGATTACTATAATTATTATCTGGTTTTTTTGAACAATCAAGAAATGCTGGATCATAATAAGACACTGGAAGAGACCAGAATTCTTACAATAGAAAATCCCAAATTTCAGTTGTGCATGAAAACATCAATACGTGAGCAAATAATGGCTCTTGCTCGACAAATTTCAAATAAAGGGCAAGGTGAAAGAGTATTCAAATCACAAACACCAGTTTATCCTACCCAATCAAGAGTAAAAATAGAAAATAATGGGAAGGTAAGTGTCGGAAAGGTTTCACAATTCGCTTCATTGATTGTGCTCACTTGAGTAATCTTTGTATATGTCTAAAATATAAAATAAACATGTTTTTTGTTTTTGTTTCAAGTCATCACCTTCTCGTTTTCAAGCTGGAGCATCAAATAAATCAGTGCTCACTCGATCTGCAACACAAGGCAACACAGAAAGAAATCCAGCACCACCAGTGCCTCCAAAGCCTTCTAATCTAATAAAAAGCAATACAATCAGTGGATCACCACGAAACAATGTCCCATCTACGGTTCCACTTGAAACAGTCTCAGGTACTTCTTCGCTCAAGGATACTTCACGTCTCACAGATGAAAAGTTAAAACCCCTCGATACTTCAACATTTGTTTCAACAACTACAAACTTAAAATCGAACATATCTGATCCCTGTTCGGTATCATATTCACGTGCACAACCTACACAAGGAGAAGTAACTTTCCCTAAAGAAAAAACAGTATCACATGAAGATATTAAAGATTCATCTCTAACAGAAAATTTAGCTGACACTTACCAAAGTGTGACATCTAAGATCCGCGGAATTGGTACGGCTGCCACTCGTGATCCTGTTATACATCAAAATATTTCTACTACGTTCAAAGAAATTAATATTGTGTTGCAGATCGAGTGAGCACTGATTTATTTGATGC